TTTATCGATTGTAGTAAGTATGTAAGTAGGGATCGTTCTAGGCCGGGGATTAGGAGGGATTGCTAAATCACTTGAAAACTGACTCAAATACGTAAAAACAAGTTTAAAACACTAAACTAGACTCAAAGAATGCAAAACTAAACTTTAAAACACCAAAACAAACAAAAAGACTCAAAACAGCAAACAAACACTCAAAACTGCCTTAAAACACTTTCTGGGTAGTTTCTGACACTCAGGAAGAATTTGGACGAAAATTGATTATAACTTGACTCAAGACACTTAAAAACACAAACTAAATTGATTTCTAACTAGTATGACTCAACAAAGAAAAGGGGGATTGATTTTGGACGAATTTAAAAACAAAACAAAACTTTGTAAACTAAAACAGATTTTAAAACGAATTTGGATGATTTGAATGGATGGAAGGCTAGCTAAGGGGTTCATCTCCACACATGTCACACTTGCATATAAAACGATTTCCAATTGCTTTTCAATAAACCATGAATTCTCAACGCCCCAAGTTAATTAGGTCCGCTTAAATTAACCCTCAGATTTTCCTTAAGTTATTGAATTGGATGAATTGCATACGACAACCCAAAGCATTCCCCACAAGTCCCCTACATGACTGCATAATAGAGATACAAGCAAGAATCATTAAGTTCTATGAAAACCATAAGCATTGACGAAGCACTTGTTACTATGATTGCATGAAACTTATGCCAAGAATTTACTTAACACGATTGTGATCAACAACCTTTACTACTTGTGAATATAAGTTCATAACGATTAGGTGAAATTCCCTTATATCCTAGCATCAAATTCATGCATGCAAACTAAGTGTCGACCCTCAATCAACATACAAGAATAAGTTTTAATTCACATAGATAAGCAAATTGAACTCACAACTTATGAAACGCAATTAGAAGTAATCAAATCATATATAACAAGCATTAAACATGGTTTCAAATCCCCCCCTAGCCAAGGGGGGTTTAGTTCCTCATACTCGCAAATAAACAAAGATAAATAAATTTAAACATTAAAACAAAGATAGAAAACACCTAGAAACGCTCCACAATCCAAGCTCCTTGAATGGCATGCACGGCTCCAAGTTGTCTTCCTTCTTCTCCTTGCAAACTCACGGCACACAAGGTATGTTTGGGTGAATGGTGTAGTGAAAATATGGTAGAGGATGGTGACTAAATGGTGCAGCAAAGGGTGGTATTTATAGGCTGAAATTCGCAGCCCCTATGTAGCAAAGGAAAAGGATTTAAAAGCCTAATTTGTATAGGATAATAACACACAATCCTTGAAGGAAAAGGCTAAGGCTTTTAGAAACCAAGGGGGAAAGGAATAATCAGGTTTCTAGGAGTCCTAGAAAGGTTTGGGGCGTCACTTTTGTAGGAGAAGGGATAAGGCCTTCTAGAAAGGTTATTTTGTGGCTGATTTCTAGAAAAACAAGGGATAAGGTGTGGCACCTTTGTAGGAAAGGATTAGGTCTTCTAGAAATCCCATTTTAAGCATCCTAATCTAGTTAGAAACCCTCCTAAGTGGCTGGAATGTGGATAATTTAGGATTAGGATAAGATAAGATAGGATAAGGTTTGTTTGGATAAGATAAGCTAAGATAAGGTTATGGATGAGGTTTTGGATAAGATCCTTCTCTTGAGTTGATTCTTTGGCTTTAATTCTTCTTCTTCATGTAGGAATACTTGCTTGAGTAGGAAACTTCATTCGTCTAGGAATCCATCTTCAATTAGGACTCCTACATTGATTAGGAATCCTTCTTCATTTAGGAATCCTTCGTTTAAGCCCTTTCCTACTTCAACTAGGAAACTTTGTATATTCAATTCTTCAACTTTGAAACACCTTCCTAGCTTCATCAATTCCTCAAATTCGTCCATCCCTTGTGCTTCATGTGCATGAACTCCATTCTAGCCCAATTTTGCTCCAAAATGCTCCAAATTGCATCCTTTTGCTCACTTTGTCTCTAAAACCTGAAAACACATGAAAATAGCTTAAAAGACTAATTTAACCAAGAAAACACAACATAAATGCATAAGAACTAACTAACTAAGGCGCATAAATATGCTCCTATCACCACACCCCATATGGGGCCCAAAACCCACAAACCCAAACCATGCCCATTGATAGGAGCATATTTATGCGCCTTAGTTAGTTAGTTCTTATGCATTTATGTCGTGTTTTCTTAGTTAAGTTAGTCTTTTAAGCTATTTTCATGTGTTTTCAGGTTCTAAGGACAAAGTAAGCAAAAAGATGCAATTTGGAGCATTTTGGAGCAAAATTGAGCTAGAATGGAGCTCATGCATGTGGAGCACAAAGAATGGACGAATTTGAAGGATTGAAGAACTAGGATTGTGTTTCAAAGTTGAAGACTTGAAGATGCAAAGTTTCCTAATTGAAGTGGGAAAGTGCTTAATTGAAGATGAAATCCTAGTCAAACATGGATTCCTAGTTGAAGATGGATTCCTAGTTGAAGTTGGATTCCTAGAAGATTGAAGTTTCCTACTCAAACAAGGTTTCCTACTTGAAGAAGGGAAGTTGAAGCCAAAGAATCAGCTCAAGTGAAGAAACCTTATCCAAAACATTATCCAAACCCTATCCTATCCAATCCTATCCTATCTTATCCTAATCCTAATCCACCTATATTTCAGCTACTTGGGAGGATTCCTAGCTATATTAGGATGCTTAAAACCTGATTTCTATAAGCCTTATCCCTTCCTACAAAGGTGCCACACCTTATCCCTTGTTTTTCTAGAAATCAGCCACAAAACAACCTTTCTAGAAGGCCTTATCCCTTGTCCTACAAAAGTGACGCCCCAAACCTTTCTAGAACTTCTAGAAACCTGATTATTCCTTTCCCCTTTGGTTTCTAAAAGCCTTAACCTTTTCCTTCAAGGATTGTGTGTTATTATCCTATACAAATTAGGCCTTTAAATCCTTTTCCTTTGCTACATAGGGGCTGCGAATTTCAGCCTATAAATACCATCCTTTGCTGCACAATTTAGTCACCACCCTCTACCATATTTTCACTACACCATTCACCCAAACATCCCTCTTGTGCCGTGAGTTTGCAAAGGAGAAGGAAGGAGACTCTTGGAGCCGTACATGCCATTCAAGGAGCTTGGATTGTTGGAGCGTTTCTAGGTGTTTTCTATCTTTATGTCAATGTTTAAATTTATTTATCTTTGTTTATTCGCGAACATGAGGAGCTAATTTCTTTGTAGTTAGAGGGGAATTCAAAGCCATGATCATATGTTTTATATGACTTGATTTCCTCCAGTTATGATTTCATAAATCGTGAATGTGGTTTACTTATCTATTTGATTGATAACATGTTTATGTATGTTGATTGAGGGTCGACACTTAGTTTGCATGCATGAATTTGATGCTAGAGTATTAAGGGAATTTCACCTAATCGTTATAAACTTATATTCATGAGTAGTAAAAGTCGCTAGTCACGATTGTGTTAAGTAAATCCTTGGCAAGAGTAACATGCGTATTCCATAGTTATGAATGCATCGTCAATGCTTATGATTTCCATTGAACTTAATGATCTTTGATATGTGTCTCTATCATGCGTATTCCATAGTTAGGGTCCTTGATAAGAATAATTTGGTTGTAATGCGTATTTCATTCAATTCAATGGATTTAGGGAAATCTGAGAATTAATTGGTGCAATCTAGTTAATTTGGGGTATTGTCATTCATGGTTTGTTGAAAGAGTAACTGGAAATCGAGTCGTATGCATATGTTTCATGTGTGGAGAAGGAACCCTCTAACTAGCCTTTCACCATTCTTTTTCATCCAAAATCGTTTTTGTTAAGTTTGTTTTCAAAGTTTATGTTTTAACTTTCAATTTCGTCAAAACAAAATCCCCATTCATTAAGTCTTGTTTTTAGAGTCAAAACTTGTTTCTTTTAAGTCTTTTGAGTCTTTGAAGTTCTATTTTCGTCCAAATCACTTGTTAGGTCTAGAATTGAGTCTTTTTGGTTGTTATTTGCTGTTTTGAGTGTTTTGAGTTAGTTTTGAGTCTATAGAGTCTAGTTTAGTGTTTTTGAGTCTTATTTGTGTTGATTAGCATCCCTAGTTAATCCCCGGTCTAGAACGATCCCTACTTACATCATTACTACAATTGTCATCAATAGGGTTTAATTTGTGTGTCAACTTAATTTTCACATCACCCATATTTACATAAAAATGAAATAAAATGATAATTTCGCAAGTAAAACCAAATTTCTCCCTTCATTGCACCGTAACTAAACTCTAGTGTCACCCCTCCCAAGTTTAGAATAAAAGAAATTATGACCCATTGCTAGATAGTGACTTCTAAAAAGAAACAAAATGCAATTCTCATGATTTCAAGACGTTTGAAATGCAAATACTTAACACTATCAAAAGTGACTAAACCACAAAAGGACCAAACCCTATTGCAAACACGTAATCGCACTTGTGATTTGACTCATCACTCATAACATTAAGAATCTCTATGACCAAGCAACCAGATTTTGTTTTGTTTTCTACTTGTATTATAAGAAAATTCAAATCATAACTGTCGTCTTTACCTAAATTTAAATATTCATTTTTAAAGTTACGAGTATTTTAGTTGTTAGATATGATTTTCATATTATTATATCTTTATTTTCAATTTTAGTTATTTATTATTTTTTATATTCAATCCTATAATGCCATTGAAATTTTTTTTTTATGAACTAACTTAAAAAAACAGTTTAACATGCAATTGTGTGTAATTAGTTTGAGCTACAGGACACGACTAGTGTGACATCTCATGTACATGAAATTTTATCAAACAGTTGTCACATTACTATTCCAAGAAATGCTAAAAGAAAATGAAGTAATTCACCTAGCGGACATATTGTGATCAACATTAAGAAACAAAATCAATCAATTTGAAACAAAAAGAAAGTAAATTAAATATGAGATCATTTTTGTTAGATAAAAAAAGGAGGCGGAGAAGAAGAACCTGGAAGGTGACAGCTGCCATGGGAGCAGCCATGCCTCTGTAGAGGGCAATTGGGCCTTCAGCGCAGACCACATTACGGAGGATGCTGAAGGCCGAGCCTGAAGGCGAGCTCTGTTGCAAGACCCGGAGAGTGTCGAGGGGATAACCAGAGACTACACCAGCCATCCCTCCAACCCCTCCTGCCACAAACTCTCTTCCCCAACTGCTCGCAAGAAACTCTGGCCAGAAATCCATTTTCCCATTCACCAAACACCTCAAATTCCAATTTCCACTGCCCTATCCTCCTCTCTGATCAATACCCAATTCTTGTTCCCCCTTTTAAAGGTAACCCAGATCAAAATCCAGCCTCAAATGCTACGATCTGTGTTTAAAGTTCAAACCTCTCCCTCTCTCCCTCTCTCTCTGTGTGTTGGTTTCTACGTTTTTCTCTCAGAATTCGGATTCAGCTGGAAAACCCAATTCAGATACAAAAGTATATACAATTCTAAAAAGGGTTGTTAGAATTTCCTTCTGGGTTATCTTTTCAAAATCTCCTGAAAAGTATGCAGAAACAACAACAACGTCAACAAAATAAGAAAAAAAGTGATCTTTTTTTTACTTAAGTCTTTTTTCCTGAATTGCTGCGAAGGACATGCCTCTCTCTCTCTCTCTCTCTCTCTCTAAACAAGGGACAGAACCAAAAGCCACCGGTTTCCAATCTCTCTCTCTCTCTCTCTAAACAAGGGACACAACCAAAAGCCACCGGTTTCCAATTTGTAGGGAGCGTGCCTAAAAAAGCTAAGCGCGAAGGAAACGGCCAATGTTTTCTTTTCAGAAAAGCAACCAGGGAATGCCAAGTGGACCATTAGCAGGCTCACACGTGGAAGCTGAGGATATCCCAGTGTTTTCATCCTAGCGTATGTTAACCAAAGTTCTGGGATTGTGAAGTTGAATCACACTCCAATTCAACCAATTTTCAGTGGTTGGCTGAGCAAAGCAACAAATGATGAAACCTGAAAGGCTCTGGTTGCTTGTGAAAGAATTACATGGCACGGAATGACCCGTCACTCTTGATGTCTCATTCAAATAATCAATTTATGTAAATTTTTATTTACATAACATTATATTGTTAGTACAAAATATTATAATGAAAATATGTCCGTGTTATCTAAATTGTTGTCTTGATTGATGATGAATTCAAGGGAATTCATAGAGTTGCTATAAATATCATATCAAAAGTTGCAGAGATTGCACAAGTGGGGTTGTACCAGGTGTGGCCTTTTGTGCCCCCCATTTATGGAGAAGAGATGGGTGGAGAATCCATTAAGAGTCTTTTTTTGGAGAAAGTCTTCTTAGTAATAGTATGGTTTCGATCTCCCTTAAGAGGTTGTAAGAATGCAAGCCCAAGTTTTGTTAATTCATTACCATGTACTATTCCATTTTGCACTACACATTTTCAATTTTTTTTTCCTATTCAAGGGAGGATTTGTAATTAAGACAACTTTCAATCTTGATAATAGAAATATCACTAAATCAAGCTCAAATCCTCCATTTTTGAGAGAGTCTTCTTAGTAATAGTATGGTTTCAATCTCACTTAAGAAGTTGTAAGAATGCAAGCTCAAGTTTTGTTAATTCATTACCATGTACTGTTCCATTTTGCACTACACATTTTCAATTTTTTTTCCTATTCAAGGGAGGATTTGTAATTAAGACAACTTTCAATCTTGATAATAGAAATATCATTAAATCAAGAATGAATTTAAGCTATGATCCTTAAACTACGACTTAATTGTATCTATTGTCCTTGAACTCAACATCCATTAAATTTGGTCACTAAATTTGATAAAATTTGTAGCATTAGTTCCTCTATGCTAAATCTGTTATATTTTATGTCTATGTACTTGTGTGGCAGGAATAAAATTAAGTCACGAACAATAGAGATAAACTTGATAACAAACTCTCTTGAGCATCAGAAATTTAGTCAAGCTCTCGATTAGAGAAATACGAGAGTGGCAGTTTAGTATTGAACTCATATAATTTCAATTGAAAAGAACATGAACGAATTTTATTATCTTTAACAAAAGAACGTACAACTAGTGATTAACCATTACGAATATATTTATGAACCAAACTTGTTTCTCTTGCGAGTGGGCTACGAGTTTCTACTGCAATTGCTTGCAATTCGTTATTGTTTGCCTCGGCATCCTTCTCCTTGAGTTCGTCCATGATACACTTCAGTTCTTCGTTAGAGCAACTCCATCAGTGTGGAATTACCCCTGCAATTAGGTTTAATTGCCCCCTAAGAGCAACTCCACTCATAGAGCCCTCCCCCTGGCAATCCACTATTGAATTCACTCTATTGAATAGTAACTGTCTTTAATGAATAGTAACTACCCTTAATGAGTAGTAATTGTCATTTGCATCTCCATCCTTGGAGCCCTCCCCTCTGGCAATAGGCAATAAAATATTAGTTTTTTTTGTTTGTTTAAATAATACAAAATAAAATTATTTGTAATTTCCGATAAGATTTTTTAAATCGTTCTCGTTGCGCCACGTGTCATTTTATAAAAAAAACAATTATTTAGCGATGGATTTCGATAAGATTTTTATCCAATGTCATCGTGCCATGTGTCGTTATCTTTTGAGAATCTTTGACGATAGATTTCGATCAGATTTTAACTCGTTCAAAATTGCGCCACGTGTAATTATCCGAAAAGATAATTATTGGAGATCGATTTCGATAAGATTTTTATCCAATACGATCGTGCCACGTGTCATTATCTTTTCAGAATCTTTGAGGATAGATTTCGATCAGATTTTTCACGAATGACGGCATGCCACGTGGCCTTATCTACAATCCAATCCTTTCTGAATCGTCTATATAATCCACCATCCATCCTCACAAATCTCACACCAATTTTCTCAACATCTCTATCTCATTATTCATAGTTTCTGCTTCTTTTTCACCATCCATCCTTACAATGTCTTCTTCTTCATCAAGGATGATGTGGGAAATCGATCAGCAAGAGGAAGAATTGTTTAACCAATCTGAAGGAATGTTCAACCTTCATATAGCCGAAAATGAGATAGAAGAGGATGAGGAGCGTACAAGGAGAGATGACGAAACAAGAATGGCCAGAGCCTCACATTCTCGTCGAGTCATCCAGACTGTTGCTCAGATATGCAGGCCCAGCCGTTCAAGAAACCTTGATAGAAGCAGGCAACGACGGGGTGAAGAGCTGTTGGACGATTACTTTAGAATGGAATGACATTTGTTCAACAGAATCATGATTGATGTTTGCAACCATGATTCTTACTTTGTGCAAAAGAAGGATGCTTATGGTGTTATGGGTCTCCTGCCTGAGCAAAAAATCACTGATGTGTTGTGGAGCTTGCGTATGGAGCATCTGCAGACCAAGTGGATGAGATAACGAGGATGGGGAAATCAACCATTCTTGAGGCCCTGATGAGGTTTTGCGGAGCAGTCGAATCTTTGTACACTGCAGAGTACCTCCGAAAACCTACTCACATGAACTTGCAAAGGCTTCTGAAGAAGGGCGAGATGCGAGGTTTTCCTGGGATGATAGGAAGCATTGATTGTATGCACTGGACGTGGAAAAACTGTCCAAGTGCATGGTAAGGGGCATATGGGGATAGAAAAGGAGCAAAATCTATCATTTTGGAGGCAGTGGCATCTTTTGATGCATGGATATGGCACGTCTTTTTCGGGGTTCCGGGGGCTCAAAATGATCTCAACGTCTTTGCCCAATCCCTAGTGTTCAACGACGTCCTGCAAGGAAAGGCACCAAAAGTCACGTATGTCGTCAACGGACGTAGGTACAACGAGCCATACTACCTAGCTAATGACATTTACCCACGGTGGAAAACATTTGTCAAAACAGTGCCACGTCCGCGAAGTGCAAAGGAAAAACATGTTGCAAGCTGTTAAGAGGGGTGCAGGAAGGATGTGGAGTGTTGTTTTGGTATCCTTCAAGCTCGTTGGACAATCATCAGGGGTGCTGCCAGAATGTTTGATGTAGAGTCACTTCGATCCATCATGATGACGTGCGTCATTCTTCACAACATGATTGTGGAAGATGAGTTCGATTATGATGCGGTTGATGAATATGAGCCAGAGCCAGACACGATGAACAATTCAAGAACACAGATATATTGTGCGCATGATGCCACCAAAGAACCCGTGCAACACGAGCCATTAGAAAGGGATGGACGTTACAATGAAAGGATCATTCAACGATATACTGCACTTCAAAGGTCATCTATGCACAATGATCGGCAAATTGACTTGATAGAGCACCAGTGGGCATTGAAACAAGCTGAAGATACTTAAGTTTATTTAGTATGTTTGTTTGTATTTGGTGTGTTTATTTAATTTTATTTGGTGTGTTTTTTGTAGTGAGTTTTTTATTATTTGGTATGTTTATGTAATTTTATTTGGTGTGTTTATGTAATTCCATTTGGTGAGTTTTTTAGTTTTATTTGGTGTGTTTTATAATTTCATTATACGTGAACAATTTGATGAATAAAGATTCTATTATTAGGATACATATATGATGTGAGAATTACTTAACACACAAATTAAACCCTCTTTTTGACAATTGTAGTATGGATGTAAGTAGGGTATCGTTCTAGGCCGGGGATTAGGAGGGATTGCTAATCTATTCTAAATTAATTTAAAAATATTAAATAAGACTTAAGGACACAAAACTAGGCTAAAACTCTAATAACTCGAAACACACTTAGGATAACTCAAAATAATGAAAACAATCAAATTAGACACTAGGAACTGAATTGGACGGAAATTGAATTAAAAGACTAACAACAATGAAAACTAATTAAATAATATAATTTAATAATGGAAGGGTGTTTGGTTTTGACTAGAAGTAAATTAAACTTAAATAAATTGCAGAATTGACAAAACATGAAATTAAGGTGAAAGGATAAATGACGGACTAGCTAGAGGGTTTTTCTCCACACATGACACATATGCAACCTAAATTGATTTTCAGTTGTTCTTTCAATAAGTTGTGAATTTCAACACTTCAGATTAACCGTGAATAGCACTTTTTTAATCTTCAAGTTTTCCTTAAGTTATTGAATTGGACGGGAAAACGCATACAACAATTCAAAACATTCTTCAAAAGTCCCCTACGTGAAAAGCACAATAGAGATACAATCAAAGATCATTAAACTTTGTGAAAACTATAAGCATTGACGAGGCATTCGTAACTATGAAAAGCATGATACTCTTGCCAAGAATTTACTTAACGTGATTGTGACTAGCAACCTTTACTACTTGTGAAAATAAGTTCATAACGATTAGGTGAAATTCACTTATATTCTAGCATCAAATTCATGCATGTAAATTAAGCGTGCACTCTCAACCAACATACACAAATCAGTTTTTATACGAACGGATAAGTAAATTGAAATCACAACTTATGAAATCACAACCGAAGGTAATCAATTCATATTACAAATATATTCATGGCTTTGAATTAACCTCTAGCCAAAATAAATTTAATTACACATTATTAAAACAAAAATAAAATAGAAGTTTGAAAAGATTTAACCGAGAGAGAGTGAATTGGCGCTCCACAGGTTCTGCTCTCTATTTCTCGCACTGCACAATTCTTTTCTTGGTTCTCCGTGCTGATGCCTTTGCTGCCAAGAGGCAGATTTTTGCTCTCTGTTTATTTTTTTATTCTTTTCTTTTCTTTATTCCTTCTTTCTTTTCTTCTTTGCCGTTTGTTTTCTTCTTCTACAAAACATGAATCATGATGATGTTTCAAACATCATCATGATTTATCATTATTATTATTATAGTTTTTTTAATTTTATTTAAAAGCTGATCTACACAGACAATTTTGATGAATTTATTACATAAAATTTCACTTGTTCTATTTTTATT